TGAGACTCTGACTCAATATCCCATCTAGATTTCCTCCTGCACATCCAAAATCCTGAAAATTCATGGATTCCCGACCGCGATTGTCCAGATTTGGAAGAGTTTCCTTTCCTTCAGCTCAGATCTTCACCTCTGCTGCATTCCAGGAAATATTTCCATTTTAATCAGGTTTTAAATAAAAATTCCAAGATTGTGACTCAACATCCTGTCAAGATTTCCTCCTGGACATCCAAAATCCTGAAAATTCATGGATTCCTGGCTGGGATCGTCCTGATTTCGAAGAGTTTCATTTCCTTCAGCTCAGATCTTCACCTGCAGATGCAGCACGAGAAGGAAGAAGAATATTTGAGAAAATATTTCCATTTTAATCGTATTTTTAATAAGAATTATGAGATTCTGACTCAACATCACATCAAAATTTCATCCTGCATATCCAAAATCCTGAAAATTCCTGGATTCCCGTCCGGGACCATCCTGATTTGGAAGAGTTTCATTTCCTCCCCTGCCCTGGGTGGGGTTCATGAAGGTTGTCTGGATTTTTTTAAGCGCCACCAATAAAGGAGCCGAGTGTCACACCCCACTCCCAGGCCGGGAATGTGGTGGGGCAGCAAGGCTGGGAAAACGGGAGGCGGGAATTGTTGGATCAATCCCAAAAAAACCTCCAGGTTTTTCCCGAATCGGCGGGGTGAAACGCTCGGAGGACGCCTCCCCGGGGAAATGAGGATGCTGAAGGTAAAAGGTGCCTCCCCGGACTGAGAGGAAATCAATTCACATTTGGAAAAGCGCTGGGAGATTCTTGGACGAGGAATGTTGGAGCTGGAATGCTGGCAACGTTGGGATAACGTTAATATTTATTGCGCGCGGCGCTTTCATCTTCAAAGCTCTTCAGCAACATCAATGAGTTAACAAAGAAAATATTAATAAAGATTCTGTTTACCCATAAAATTCCCCTCCCTGAGCACAAATAAATAAATAGAGCTGCCTCCAGTTAAAAAAAAATTGAATTTAAAAATAAGTTCCAAGCCCCAACTTATTTATTCCAGGATCAAATCCCTAAATCCCTGGTGGGGCTGTCCCTGGAAAAGCAACTTGGAGTGAGGAATTATTGGTTTATATTTGGAATGAGCAAATATTATATAATATCTATAATTTATTATTTTTATTTTAGATTATTTGTTTATATTTCTGTATATTTTGTTATAGCATTTGTATTATTATGTTATCATAATATTTATATTATTATGTATTTTATAGAAAAATATTGTTTTATCTCTATATATCATTATATTTTAACTCTTTATATTTTTATTTTATATATGTTTATATTTTAATATATTTGTATTCATATAATATATTTATATTTTTATATTTTTATATATTTTTATAATATGCTTATATATTCATATATAAATATATAAATATATTTATACATTTATATATGTATATATTTTAATATTTATATATTTATATATATAAATATATATTATATATTTATATATAAATATATTTTATTTTTATAGTATCATATATAATGTTTAAGTATAGATATTTAATTATAATATATAATTTTATATAATAATTAAATATATAACTTTAAAATAATATATAAATTAATACATAGATATAAAATATAATATTAATATATTTATAATCTATATAAATAAATATTTACATATATAATTTAATACATAACTATAATATGTAATATTAATATATTTATTATATAAATATCTATGTATAAATATATTTATAATATAAATAACAATAAATTTATATATTTATTATATATAAATAACAATATATTTTTATATTTTAACTATTATTGTTTTATATATTATTAATATATTTATTATATATATTTTTATATTTATATCTATAAATAGAAATATATTTAATTATTTATCCTTTCAGAGAGGCTAACTGGACCTTAGGCCTAATCCACCTGTACCAGGGTGAAAAATCCGGAGAAGGGAGAGCAGCGCTTGGAAAATGGAATTCCGGAATCCCTGAGGTCGGAAAAGCCCTCCAAGGTCAGTCCAAGCTGTTCCCAGTCCCCACCTGGGTGCCACATCCAGGAATTCCCTGGACACCTCCAGGGCAGGAGGCTCCAGACCTCACCGCCGGCATTCCCAGGAGAACGTTTGGGTGTTTTTGGGATAAACTCCAGAAAAGGAGGAATCTCCATTCCACGGGAAGAAGGCGGAACGCAGGGCAGTTCCCAGCCTGATATGATATGATATTATAATTATTTATTGGAGTGCTGCTCCAAGGAATTGCGCTCTCCTTTCGGGATCTTGAGGGGTCTCCTTGCTGCCACAGCTGCCCCGTTATCCGCGGGAAATTCGGGAATTTACGGAAAAGCGGGAAAAGGGAAGAGCCTTTCCCAGTGCGTTATCGGCAAAACAGCCACGGGGCCTCTCCCTTTGGGATTCAGTTCCTGATCCTCCGGCTCCGACTCTGCAGCTGGAAAGCGAAAGAAATAGAGAGAGAAAGGAATGGAGAGAAAGAAATGGAGGGAAAGGAATAAAGGGAAAGAAAGGAATGGAGGGAAAGGAATAAAGGGAAAGAATAAAGGGAGAGAAAGGAATGGAGAGAAAGGAATAAAGGGAAATAAATAAAGGGAGAGAAAGGAATGAAGGGAAAAGAATCACGGAGTTTGCTTTGGTCTGGGGTTCTGTAAAATGGTTATAAATAAAATAAAATATATTAAATATATTATAAAATAAAAGTAAATATTTTCTATTATTATTTATAATTAATAATATTTAATAATATTTAATATTAATTTTCTAATTAAAATAATATAAATAATATTTAATAATATTTAATATTATTTATTTATATTACTTATATTTATAAATATAAATAATATATTATATATTATAGAAATAAAGGTAAAGAAATAAAGGGAAATAAATAAAGGGAGAGAAAGGAATGAAGGGAAAGGAATCACGGAGTTTGCTTTGGTCTGGGGTTCTGTAAAATGGTTATAAGTAAAATAAAATATATATAATAAA